ATGATTTTTAAAATGCCATTGATCTTGGTCTTTATCTACAAGAAACAATGCATATATTTCCCATTTTACAGTGTACACATTTCAAATACTTTACCAAGCTAATTTTCCTAAATGGAAAAACAAGTCATTAGCTCAATATAATTTAGTAGATTAGAGTTAGCTTATTTTATAATTCATTAATTGCTAAAGAGGGGGCAGGTAACTGTATATTACAGGCTATTTTGAAACTTGATTAGACTTATGTAAATATCCACCACGTATTGACATTGGCTTGAACAGGTTATTGTTTGTGTTTCAGTGCGAAGCAGATTACTATGGTTGCCAAGAGCAACTTTCAGTCACCTGACAGTGACAGGCTAAGGCTGAACAGCTGGGCCATGCAGGCACACAATGTGTCTCAAAATAGAGTGACCACTTCGTATCAAAAGTTAAACAGAGACGGTTATGCTCTTCCCACAATGGTCAGCCTCATAGCTTAATTTATATTTATAGCTGGCCTCTCTACCATCTGTGCACATAGCATATACAGCATCTCTGAGGAATTGAAGTGGCATTATTTGAAGACCTGATTAAATAGCCAGGAAAAAGTAATCCATCATTTGAAATGTACACATTTCAAATACTTTACCAACACATTTGAAATGTGTCCAAGGAGAAATGTAAGACAACAACAATAGTGTCCTATCATGCTTTCAGATTTTCTTCTTTATTTCTTTTGCATTCTTTCTTATCCAGTGCCAAGTACAATATAAACCAAGAGTACCACTGATACGACTACCATCTAGGCATAAAAAAATGACCTATCAAGATTCTAATAGGCCGGCTGTAGAGGGAAAGCAAATAGTATTTCTGCTGGAGAGTGCCTTGATCCCTTATGGTCACACAGAAGTAAATGAACAAGGGACCAAGCAGAGCACAAGATACCATTAATACAGCAATGCTTGTTGCAGGGAGAGTCTCCTGATTTTAACACAAGTAAATATCTGTAGTTGGTTTACTGAGGGCACTGAACTACTGAAATATTAGAAAAATAAAGTAAAACAAAACAAGTTATTTGTCTCCTACTATCTATTTCTAAATATATCTTCTGAGATATGCCTTCCAACTATTTGTAATATGTTTTTATTTTAAAAAGACAGAAATAAAACAGAATTTCAAAATAGAAAACAAGTAGGGAATTAACACTAGTTAAAATATTGCACGTTGTTATCTCAAAATTAGTTTTCAGGTTATAAAAGTTAGGCACAAATGCGATAATCAAACAATGACAGCACAAAGTTTTCTTTTTGATGAACTAACAGAGATTAGTGGTATAGTTATCTAGCATATATATATATATATATATATATATATATATATATATACACATTTACATATGTTTACCGATATACATATAATCTTTTCCTTTCTTTCTTTCCTATATCCCAGTAGTTCTGTCCTGTTAAGCACTTTCTTTCCCCTTCATTGTTACAATATCTATTGCATATTTTGGATCTTACTGTTATATCAGATTTTTATTTTTATTACTATTTTTGTACTAAGGAGACAATATTATATTTATGTATGTTAGTTTGATTTGTTTCACTTATGAGTATGGTCTCAATTGCCTTGGTTTACCTATAAAAGCCTCAAGGTTATCTTTTTCATAGCTAAATAATATTCCATTATATATAAATACCTCATCTGTTTATCCACCCTGTAATTGATGGGAATTTTGGTTGTTTCCAAGATTTAGCTATAACAAATTAGCCCCCTCCCCAAAATTCAAACACCCAATCCAAAAATGCACATCTGAAAGAACTCGTTCTTTTCAGATGAAGAAATATGAATGGACAATAAATACATGAAGACATGCTCAATGTTACTGGTCATTTGAGAAAAGCAACTTAAAACAACACTGAGATTCCATCTCACTCCAGAAAAAAATGATTGCCATAAAGAAATCAACTAATACCAAATATTGGTGGAGATGTGGAGGAAATACGAACACTTCTTCACTTTTCGTGGGAGTGTAAACTGGTGTAGGCACTATGAAAATCAGTGTAGATATTCCTCAAAAAACTAGGATTAAAAGTATCATTCAATCCAGATATTCTCATTCTGGGTATTTTCCAAAAAATTGAAAGCATCACGTCACAGTGATATATATGCAACTATATTTATAGCAGCACAATTTGTAATAGCTAAATCTTGGAAACAACTATTTGCAATTTAAGCCAGTTATGAAACTCTGAGGTCACCTTAAAATATTTAAAAATCTTCAGGTATTCAGAAAACAAACAACAAAACTACAGTATGGATACACACAGAGGCACATACACTATCTTGCGCAATCTACCAAAAATTTCCAAGTGATAAAGAGAAAAAAAAAAAAAGAAATGGAACATTAAAATGTGTTATGTATACGTTCCAACTCCACAAATGAATGTAAGTATCACTGAAAACAGGTACTAAAAAAATAAGCTAGTATAGTACCTGAAGTTTCTACCCACCTCCCAAATCAGTCTTGAGACAAAAACAGGGAAAGGGGCCATTGTGCTGTCTGTTGCATTTTTGGGGGGTCTGTTCTGTCCCTTTGCTTAGGGATTTCCAGGGTCAAGAAGGAAAATATTGATGTGGAGTGAAGAGACAAAGACTAATTTTTCAGTGCTCTCAGAAGGCCACTGCATGGAAGCCATGTCCACGTTTCACCTTTGTAGGGCAGCAGTGTAGGTCCCACTGCTGGGAATTTCCTCACAAGGCTCTTCCTGAAGCTAGCAAGGCACTCTCTACTTGATCTCAGCTACCAGCTCAGCCTCATGCTTAGCAGCATCTATCCGAAAGCCTTTGACTAGTGCACCATAGCTGGCAGGACCTTTGGGACAGCACCTATTCAAGAAACATTCACCCCTGGTTTCTGTAAGTGGAACCGCATAGTTGGTCTCTCCTTTGCCTCCCTGCAGAATAGGGAGCTTCAGATTCTCTCCAGTCAAGACTACATTGTCCTCCACTTCCCATGTTTGCACTCACCTGGTAGGCACACACACATGCACACACACACACACACACGCACACAGACTACCAAGGAGCTCTCTTTGTGTCTCCACAACTGGCTATGACAATGTCCAGCACCATGACTTGCAGAATTTCAACAGTCCTCGGTTTCTACAGGCCAAGCAATTGTAGGAGGTACCACTGGGCTTCTGCAATCACTTTCAACAAGATACAGGACATGGTCTATATGTCTTCTAGAAATACAGAGTGACTTATCAAACATTTTCCTGTGCTCTAGCCTTAGCTGAACAATGAAAATTAACTGGACTTCTCTTGTTCTATGAAGTGTTCAACAACCAATGTTATCTTACATGTGGCCCTGTTATAGAGTGTGGTTTTTAAAATATGACTCAGTTAGAGAGACCTATTTTAGAGTTTGCTTTCTCCCATTTGTACATTACTTATTCTTCAGAAAAGGACTTTGTCACACTAATGTATGTAGCGTATGAAGTGAAGGGACATGCAGTAGTCCAGGAGAGAAATTGGGCTCCTGAAGGAAAGTTGATGGTCCTTTTAAATTCCTTTAATTGCTTCACTCATCTAAGACTGAACTATGCAGTTCATGTTGTTGGCCCTTTTTTGTTTGTTTTGTTTGTTTCAGTCAAGAATAAAAAGTGAAGGCCCATCTTTGTAGATTTCCTGATCAGTATCATCAGGTAATTGGCCAAGGTACAGGACCTAATAGGCACATTTAATGAAAGCAAAAGAAAGTGCTCAAAAGGAAAGAACAAGAGAGATGGGGGAAAGAGAGAAAGAAGGGAAAAGACCATATATATATATATATATATATATATATATATATATATATATATGATAGCTTTACTAGTAATCTGTGTTAGCTCATCCTAAAGAACAGTTTGTGCTTTGACTGTTTGAGGATTTTTTGTGCCCAAATCTTGTAATCTGAACAACTACTTCTAAGATAATAATATGCAATATATTAATTAGTGTTCAGTTCTTATTTTTGAAATTCTGAATTGTTTCTATCCTTTTCTGTTTTGCTTTTTAAAATAAAAAAGTGAAAAAATAATAACATCTAATGTTAGACTTGGTCTTTTATCATATTTCAGTCTCCTCTTGTTGAACTTGCTTCAGGGAGAGACTGAGACGACAGTGAGCCATGTCAGAAGGGAGAATGACATAAAAGAATTGAAATTGGCCTGAGAGGGTGGAAGACTTTGAATGTATTAATATGTAATATTATTTCCATCTATGTAAATGACTATTCACATTCTGCTTTTTAACTTCATTAATGTTAAATATTTCAGAACATGTGACCATGAAATCCCCCTCCCTTCAACTTCCTCTATCCATAGAAGGAATAATGTTGCTATGGTGATTTTATATGATATATCTATTACAGTTACTTTTCAATACACCATCATATTTGCCTTCAAAGAAAAGCAAAACTATATTAATTATAGTAAAAATGACAATTTATCAAAATCTGTTTGAAATAATAAAAAATGAATTTCCTTTTAAGAGGTTGTTCTGGCTGCTTTTTTGCAATTTCCATAGATTAAAGACTATGCATAAGTGTTTATGTATGGCCTTTATACAAGAGTATGTGTGTATTATGTGCATGTAACTATATGTACACATGATACATAATATAATCATATATATATATATATATGTATCTTACATGCTCACATGTATCGGTTTATATATATTGTATGTGTCATATTTATATGGAACAATGGGAAAAAGCAGGTCACAAAAGAGAGATGGTATTAAATTATTGGCTGATGTCTTTCAAACCAAAGTCCCTATTGTGTATAACGATTTATTTCTCTGCAAGTAGACAGATAAAATGCCTATAAAATTTGCTGAAAGTAATGTATCATCAACTTATGCACATTTAGACCTTAATTGTATTGTTTCATATGGACTTAAAGCATAAGGAAAGCAACTTGGAATGTAAAAGGAGACCATAAGTAATTTTGTCTAAGTTCTGATTTCCTTACCTGGCTTAGGGACAATGAGCTGTGCACTGGTTTGGGCATTACCAGCCTCATTTTCAGCCACACATTGATAAAAACCTTCATCTGACTTTACAACCCCAAGGATCCGTAAGTTGCTTCCTCCCTAGAAGGGGAAAAAAAGAAGCAGATCCAGTATTGTAAAAAACAAAAACAGAAAACAAAATCTTCAACTTAAAAAAAGAATATGGACTAAAGTCGAATAAAATATAATAATATAAACAAAAGGCAGATTCTTAACCTCACAGATGCTTTATGCTGCCTGGAAAATGTCAATCATTCCAAGACTTTTCCGAATAAGAGGATATCAATTCAGACTAGTTCTGCAATGAAAATATCCTCATAAAAATAGTCATCATTATCAATATATAAGTGAATAATCAAAAGAAATTTCTTTATGAGGTATGGAAGCAATAAAGATGACTAAGAGTGGTATTTGAATATTGTAAAGAACTAAGAATGAATTTTACGTATTTCAGGAAATGTTTACCATTGAAATCCCAAAAATTCCTTTTAAAATGATAATTATTGCAGTAACATATACTCTATGGGGATATTAGGGGGGTACCATGTCATCTCTAGTCTGTATTGGAAATGTTTCACACCTTTGGAAGTCCATAAATGAAATACAATGACATTAATTCCTTTTTTATATAACACGAACTACCATCTTTCTCAAGGATGGATGATAAAATGATCTGGAGATAGCATTTAATTACATGAACTCAGTTTATCTCTTATATTAGTGCAAGAATTAGTTCAGTAAGAGAGATGTGGTAAATCACTTTCCCTGAAGTCATTAAGAGATAAATATTACCTCATGGGGAATCCTTAATTGTTTTTAGAGTCTTGTAGTCAATTCTCAGATGATGTAAAATTCTTAGATAAAGATGCTAACTTCTAATTAACAATTTTCATTTAAGTTATTATTTGCATTAGTTTTAACATGCACAATGGCTCTTGGATTTCCAGAACCATTGAGAAAATATTTTAAGACCATTTAATGTGAATAGAGCACATACATTTTCTTTCACCTTAAGAAGCATTGAAATAGCTTGCTGAAATAGGTTTCCTGAAATGAGTCATGTTGGGACAAAGATTATTCAAACTGTAGAAAAATGCTTTATTTTATTATGTGTCCATAAGGGTATGCAACAATTTCCTTTATATGCAAGTAGCATATATTGTAGGCATATACACTTTCAAGCTACCCAATGCAAGGCATTTTCAACATGTTTAAAGGAAGTAATTAATTGGTATGGCATTCAAAAGTTAAATTTTTCATCTCTTACTCTATCCTGAACCAATTAAATGCATGCAGCTACAAGTGAAAAATGGGTAATGATGAGAAAAGTGATAAGCATATGATTTATTGACTTACTCCTTAAGAATTTTTATGGCATGGCAAAATGCATGTTCAAGGAGATTATGAAAGTTGGTGAAAGTCACCTGATTGTGGAGGAGGCATTGACTGGTAAGAGCCAGCATGTGTCATGGGGAGAGACTGTGCCTGGCCTCACTACACACCTACATTCTGGAATACTCTGCCTGAGAGACCTGGCTTAGGTAACATCTCCTCTTTAACAAGGTCATATCTGCATCTCAAACATAAGACAAGTGGATCTAAAAGTCTCTTCTTTCTCTGCAGGGTTCTTTGATGTTTGGAAATTGAGATATATAGATATAGATATTTTCATACTGTATATTCTTATGCCTGAAATCAGAACTTTTGATTCAAAGCTACACCCAATTGGGAGTTTCCATAAAGCATTTTTCCAATGAACAAATGATTCTGTGGATAATAGTAAAAACAGTCATGGTAGGCATGATGATTCAGTAAACATGGTACCAATATTCTTATGGTCTCCCATAAGGATAGAGATAGTGAACTAAAACTTATAAATAACTGTAAGGATTACTATTCTTGCTTTCACTTTTTTTTCCAACACTGAAAGTTACAAACAATGTAAACTATAGATCTTCATGGGCTCTTTAACATTGCTGTGACCACTGTCACTGTCTCCATCAATAGTGCTCATACAAGATAAGTTGGCATTATGTGGAAAAGTAACAAAAGGAAGTAGTCTCTATTATCAAAGTAAGGCTACTACAATCACAAATAAGATATCTTATTAAAAATGTATTTCAAGTGGTAAAATTCATAATAGTAGGATAACACTGGCTTGATGTAGTCTGCGACTAGATTCTGAATTATATACTATGAACATATTTGGAATGTCTTAGGCCCTTTGATTTGCTATGCTTTAAAGTTTTACTATACAAAACAAGTAGAATGGACAGTTTGATTACTCTTGTTCAGGTTCACAATTCAAGTCTAGAAAATCATCTTCTTTCTTAGTTTATTTAACACGCTATAAAAATTCCCAATAGTAACTAACTCACCAGGAAAAAAATCAAATGGAAAAAAAAGTAAGTAATAAATGGGATTGTTAAAGTAATACGTAAAAAGATAATTACCACTATCTGAAAATAATCACTAGGAATGACCACATCTCCATTCTTCATCCAATTCACAGTGGGCACAGGCTTTCCAGAGACCGAGCATTCAAACTCAATATCCATGCTTTCATAGGCATAGAGGTTGGAAGGGTGATTTACAAACCATGGTGGAACTGCAAAGACAGAAAAAAAGTGAATGAGTGAGGATGTGAACTTGCATTTTGGGGTCTTTAATATTGAATACACTGCTCTGGGATATAAAATATTTGAAATTCAACTATTTCCCAAATCACATTGGATAATATAGGAACTGCTGTAGAATGTATCGTTCTCCTCTTAATGCAGGTAAGTAGTTAATGGTATTGTCCTAAAAGAAGAGTGAAACATGGGAAACTAACATCTACATAAACATAAAAATGCAATGAACATTCTAAACGCCCATTTGCTGCATGAAATTGACTTATACATTGTAAGATGCACAAAGCCATGGAAGATATGCCCATCTAGTAAAGAAAGGAAAGCTTATAGCACTGAAGCAATTCATAATGAGAGATGATAATGCTTATTGGTCTGTAATTCTAGAGTTTCACTAGAATTTACTTAATATGATGGACTCATTCTTTACTGAAACTAGTTGTATAATAAAGCAATAAAAATGACTGTACTATTTTTGTGGACACATTTCTATTATTCTAGAGATTACCTATTACAGTATATTACTATACTATGCTATTGTTTTCCCAGCATGTCTGTGATACACTGATTTATTTTCATTTAATTACCATAAAGCTAGTCACTCTATGATGGAAATTTGCAATTGAAGGTAAATATAAATACATATAACACATTTTTGCTAATGAATCCTTCAATTCAGTTTCTTAAAACCATGCCTAGAAGAGAATTTGTTTTTTAAAAAAGAAATGTTTATGCTCTTCCACTAGAAATTAAAGTGAAGTCACATCTTACTATACCTGCTACCTGAGAGTTCACAATTAAGGTCAGTGAAACAGTAGCTATCAACTCATTTCACATAGGAAATTAATAGATATTTTCAGTGGCCATTTTTAAGATTTCACTGTTGTTAGTATCTTCAATGAATAAGGTGTGCTACCTTTTGATTAATTAGGAAACTACAATTTCTTTTTTCCCACTACCAGCAAAACATTCCTGACACCAAAGTGAGTATTAAAACTATAATGGTCATGGTCTTTTAGAAGAGTGGGTAAACCAATAGAAATTCCAATGATTTCATGCTTTCCCTTCTCTCCTTGCCTTATTAACCCAAATTATATCTAAATATTTACCTCTATTACTAAACTTTTTCTTAAAAAATCTTCACAGGAGAAAATTCATTTAGATGTTTTAGCTGGGATGCATTAATATTCATGGCATAAGGACATGAAAAGAAAAGTGACTTGGAGCCATTTTAACATTTCATACAGAACTAAAATTATGTATTTACTATTGATAATGTTATTAGTATAATGAGACATTTTTCATTCCTACTAAGTTTCACTAATGAAAAACCAAAAGAGATAAGGAATACTAACAAAATAGCCTCTGAAAATTAGATATTTGAATCTTCTTAATTCTGTTCTCAGTTTTACTGCAGATTATGGTCAAAAGGCTTACTACTAGCCAAAACCAATATTTCCTGAAAGACCCCAGTGCAAAATTTATTAGTCAAAGCATTTTGCAATTATTTATTCTCATCACAACTGTCTGAGGCAGGATCCATGATCCCTGTTTTACAAATGAAGAGGTTGAGCTGCAAGGTGTTTAAATAACTTTTCCAAAATTGAACAGCATATAAATTGTGGCGCCAGGCAGTCTGACTCCCTGCCTGTGTTTCTCTCCTGCCCACGTTCTGAACTACAGGGCTTTGTAGTAATTGTCTACTTTACCACTTAAAAACTCTGGTGAAATTATAATCTCATAACATCTCTGATGTTTCAGAGATGGTGGAGAAAATAAATTAGGGTCATTACAAAATAAATCGTACTATCAATCCATCCTCTCCTGTTACTCCTTTCCTGGAATCACGTAAACTCCAAATCTATCTATTCTTCACTTACATCAAACTTTGAAATTATTAGTCCTAAAACACAGTTTTTCAAAATGGGGGTCACATCTATTCATAGATCTCAAAAGTGATTTACTGGGTTAATTTTAAATACTTACAAATGATACAAAGTTACAAATATTTAGTATCTTAAATCTTTTATCTTACAAATGTTTAGTATCTTAAATCTTTGTACCTTAAAAAGATACAAAGTTAAAGAGAAACATTAGAAAACAGTATATCACAGCAAACATCATCATACTGTACATATCTAGAGAAATAGAAAAAATATAATATTAATGTATCTTTGTGTGATGCTGTGTGTGGTCTTTTTATGTTATTTCCTAACATTTCATTGGTATTTTTGTGTATTTTCAAGGAAAAAAAAATTTAATTCACATAATGGTATTTCTTAAAAGAAAATTATTGAGTTGAAATGACTTATTTTTGAAACAGTATTGTGAAGATTTGGTTTTCCCAATTGCAGGGGAAATCTTTCTGTTTATTATCCTTAAATAGAGTATATAATGTAAAGTTGGTCACATAGTAAATTCTCAAAACACTTTGCTTACTGAATGTATTTTGATTAAGAGAATAATTTAATTCAAGCATGTAACTGGAGTTGTAACAGTGTAAGAACCAGAATGACTCAGCTCTTCTTTCCTGTTCACAAATACCGGTATATATTTCAGATCCGGTCTGTGTTTCATAATTTTCTTATATTTCTTAGGCTTTGAGTATTACACTTATTGTTGCATTGTGTTTTCCCTGGCTCTCCTAGTAACTTCATTTTTTATCAGATTTTACAAGTTTGACATTATATCAGACAGTAGGTGAGAGAAAAAAAAATATTTCTCTTTCTTACATTGACAGTGTCCCCCATGCTAAATGAGGCTGCATCCCCTGGTTTTTGACATACACAGCCTAACTCAGCTTACCTGTCATTAGCAGGCTCTGTGGGAAAGGCAAGGGCTAGGAATCTCTCTTTATAGCTCAGTGTCCAGTAGAGGGCTTCATAATCAGCGGGTGCTCAATAAAAATTTGTTGTTGATTCTAATAAGAACTCAATAAAACGCGCATTTGGAACCTTTGATGTGGGAATACTGGTCTATGATAAAATTTGAGCAGTATCACAGAAACTATGTGACTTGCGTAACGATCCTCTAAAATGATCTAAAAATATAAGCCTGAGTTGGATTGGGAATTCGTAAAACTCTCATACTTGCTTTTAAGTAATGTACAACCAAATTTCTGCTAAATTTCCTAAACCTATCACCTACACATCCCTTATGTATACACTGCACCTTGATTAAATGAAGGTATAATATGTTCCTCAGACTAGGATTACAAGTGTGTGGCACCACATTCACCATATACCTTTATATTTATTAGCTTACAGACAAGCTAAAAACATTGACTCTATTTTAATTTCTCATTATTTTCCATGAAAATCATCTAGCTCAACAAAACTAATCCTACTTGTTAAGTAAAATATTTAAAAATTATTAAAACAGGTACTGTATATACAAATAGAGAAACTGACTACAGATTGAACATGACTTGTCTATAGCTATGGCTGTGTGATATTCCATCACTATCTTACTGATCATGGACCTCTGCCTTGCTCACTTTTGTCACATAATGCAGACTAATATAATATATTGCTCAACATAGTGACAAGAAATTGCTCTCATCCAGAGGTGTTTCTCCCTCCACTAACTTATGTTGCTCATGTAACTTCCATTAACATTAAATCTATGGCTTCCTTTTCCTCTTTTTTAACAGTGATGCATTATGTGAACTATTGTCCGCCCTATTCCACAGTTCTCTGCACTTTCCTTATGTGACAAGTTACTTGAAATCTGCTTAATATTTTCTCTAGTTTGTTTTTCTACCTGTCCATCTGTCCTCCCCTATAGTACTAGTTATTGAGATTTGCAATTCATTCTCTACTTAACTCTCTCTCACAATTCTTATCTGTACTCTTCTAAAAATTTTAGGTTGGGTTAGGATGGACCTTATCTTTAAAAATGGAAAGAATGTATTATACCTTGGAAATGAAAGCACACGTAAGCTTTGTTCAGACTGTTAATATTGATTGAAGTCTCTATCTTACCACAAAATGGCTTTGTATTTATGTGTTTTATTCTCTACATTTATTATTCAAGGCATGTTTCAATCTATTTTGGCAGAAAAAAATAATGAGAGAATATAGAGACAGACATATAGATAGAAAGGTGTGTTGATGGGAAGGGCACAGGGATAGGGAAAATAGGAGGATGGGGGAAAAAGGAAGTACAAATAATTAAGATGTGATATGCATATGCTACAATTTTCCAAGATGAAAATAATGATTTTGTGTCTCAAACATAAACTAAAAAAATAGGAAAATTAACTATTGTAACGTGCATAACATATTTGTCATGTATCTAGGCTTAAGTTCAATATTCAATTGAATATTTTCTTAAGTAGAATTAAATGTACTATCCTGAAAATTCTATAACAGACCACATGACTCAGCAGTAATCCATTCCATTGTGGCATTGATCTACATGGGAACTTACTGATCTATTAATTTTGCAAAAACTAAAGATTCTGTATCTGTCTTTATGCCCTCAAGGCTAACAATGGGACAGGTGCCCAATACGTATTCTCAGACAAACACATATAAGAGTAGTTCCATGCTTTAAAAAGCTAGTTGGCATTCAGTTATCATCTGGCTACCAGGCCCTGTGAGGAACATTTAAAATGTAAGTGGAAACTTTTTCTTATAAAGTTAATACCAGTTATGGCAACAGGATACTAAAAGCAACAAATTATAAGCTGCTCTACTATCCCCAGTAAAGACATTATTTAATTACCTTACATATATATCAAATTTAGACCTTTCGAAATTTATTTTGCACACTCCATTTGTTTTACTTATTGTGAACATAGTATGCTAAAACATTCTTCCTGCTATCCAAAAATTCTGCTTTATGTGCTTTGGGAATGAAGATTATGTGATTCTCAATCTTTAGAGTCTTTCATATAGGAAACAATTTGAGATCTCCCTGCACAATGTTCTTTATCTACACAAACAATACCAGTGCCTTAACCTTGCCTGCCCTT